GCGGTAGCCGGGCCTCCCCAGGAGCCTCCGGAGACTCCAAAGCCGCGTGCGTGGCCGGGTGAGTCAGCCGCCCTCAGGACGGACTTGCGGGGCCGTCGGCACGAGCCAGCACGTGCAGCGACGTGGCTGGGTGGGAGCTCTGGGCTCTTGACACCCAAAAGCAACTGGGAGGTGCTCCGGCACGTGTTCGTTCTCGCCAAACCCCAGCGACATGATAGGCGTATCTCCCAGTTCGCCCGGCATCGGCGGAGCAGACTTTGCCACCCGATTCATGGACTTGTGTTCCCCTCCTGAGATGTTAAGTTGATTTTGATGAATAAAGATAACTTTGGTAAAGATGAAGTATCGTTGCCGGACGTTGTTTTCCGTCCTGAAAAGGAGGAGATATGTTTAAAGTAATTGGTAAAGTTACTTTTCTGGAAATTGGCAAAAACCAAAGCACCGGCATGCAACATTTTGAAATTTGTTGAAATGACAGCTTTGCAAGCAAGGCAAAGATTCCTTGCCTAACAGGCGTGATGTGGACGCTATTAAAAAAAAAACAATTTAAATGCCTAAATTCTCCCAATGCTTGCATCAAGTAGGTGATAATTTAGAAAGTATAAAGTTGCTGAATTATAGGATTAATTTTGTGGTTTACAACGCAACAAGATTTTGGAAGCACTGAATCATAGTTCTGGAACATTGGGAATCGGCTATTTCATATCAATCACCAGGAGGCACTTTCCGGTCCCATTTTGCCACGTGTCCCAGGGACTCACTAGTTTTCAGTTCAGGCTGCCGCTCTGGCCATTTCCCAAGACTTCCTCACCCTCCCAGTGGTTGATCTCTATCTCTCCAGCCTACCCTGTTTCACTCCCCCACAGACCTTGGATTGATGGATTGGTTTCCCTCACCTGAGGACATGCTTAGAGAGAGGAATCCACCGACGGAGCCAGTCTGGCTGGGCCCATACAGACCTGTTTAGTTTGAGAGAATTGGCTACTACAGGACAGGTTATGAGTGGGGGAATTTGAAATCATATCAAAGGAAGTTTGTGAAATTTTTCAGGCCGTGTCTTTGATCCTTATTTACCTAAGTTAAAAAGCATGGCTTTGGAATCCAACCAATCTGAATTCTGGCTGGGCTAGAATTCATTGTAAAGCCTTGGGAAAGTCATTGAAATGTTCTAAGCCTTCGTTTGCCCATGAGTAAAACAAAGGGCAGCTATGTATAATTTCCGGCATAGAGTAAGCTTTCAACCAGCAGAGGTTATACAGGACTAGTTTCTGGCTCCATTGCTAAATAATCCCCAGAATGGTGGTATAGCTTGCATTCATTCAGTGTTCATTACGTTAGGCCAGTGATGGTGAACCTTTTGAGCTCGGCATGTCAGCATTTTGAAAAACCCTAACTTAACTCTGGTGCCATGTCACATACAGAAATTTTTTTATATTTGCAACCATAGTAAAACAAAGACATATTTTTGATATTTATTTTATATATTTAAATGCCATTTAACAAAGAAAAATCAACCAAAAAAATGAGTTCACGTGTCACCTCTGACACGCGTGTCATAGGTTTGCCATCACTGCATTAGGCACTGTAATAATCACTTAAGTCCTCATCGCATCCTTGTGTATTAAGTGCTATTATAGAAAACTGACACGCATTGAGGTTAAGGAACATGCTCAGAATGGCACAGCTAGTGACTGTGAGAACCAGGATTTGCACACAGGCAATCTGGCTTCAGAGCTTGTACTCCAGCCACTAAATAATGCTGGTGAGTTTCTGTTCACTTTCATTCTTGCCCCTCAGACTCCTTTCTTCTTGTGAGTTCTGAACTTGCACAATGGAGCGCCAATTGCCATGAGATATAAACCCATTTAATTTAATATTAAATACTTTTTCAAAGTACATCTGGGAACTACCTAACACCATCTCCACCACATTGTTCTAATATTCGGTCTAATATGCAGGTGGTGTTTTGGAAACTGCTGATCTAGAGATTAGACAAAATTTCACTCTTTCGCAGGGCCGCTGGTATATCAGCCCCCTGATGAACACAGCACTGTTCCGAGCTTGGAAAGGAGAGAGCAGACTGAGTTTACCCTTCAATCGCTTTGTGCCTTTATCCAGTCACTTTTCATTCTTACAACTCTACACAATGGCACTGTGCTTCTGCATGACTCCATGTATCAGATCAAATTAGGTTCAGCTGCAGGTACTCAGTCCAAGGCTTGGGCTGCTGTCACAGTATCAGGGATTGGGCTTCCAGCCTCTTGCTCCACCATCCTCATGATAACATTTCCCCCAATACAAGATGGTTGCCCAATCTCCAGCCCTCAGTCACATTCCTACCTGGAAAAAGGAAGATAAAGAAAGGCACATACATGGCTTCCCTTTAAGGACATTTTATAGAAATTGCATTTCCTATTTCTGCCTACCTCCTGCTAACTAGAACACAGCCTTAAGAAAATACCTTGTTGAAGGAAACCTGAAGGTTATATTCTGGTATGTTCGAGGTTGCCATGTGCTCAGCTAAAAATCAGAATGTTTACCATTAAGGAAGACTGGAACAATAGATGATGAGAGAGGAAATATTATCGTAAACTTTGTTTTCTCACAACTTAGACTGGGGTTATGGATTTTGGAAAGGCACTTTGGAACCCAAGGAATGTAACTTTATGCAAATAAAGCCTTTTTGCACATCTCATTCTCCCGTGGGGGTTTCTGAAAACTCTTAGGTACCCTAAGAACCTCATTCTCACGAGTGATGGGGAAATTTGACTCTCCGGTACCACTTTCTCCCATATTTATATTATTATTTAGGTTATATAACCCAGTACTGTCATTATGTTGTTGTTTAAATTGTTCCAAGCTTTGGCTATCAGGAAAAAAGGCTGTTTTTTGTGTCCTTTTGACATGCCCCCATTCTTTTTTTTTCCCCACCCTCCCACTTTGGAGCACATTTCATTCATTCTCATGTTTAGTCCAAGAAATTTACAAAGACATGGCAACTTCCTAATCCAGCCTCATCATTTCTCATCTTGACTAATGCCTCTGAACTGCTTGCATGCTCTCCCATCAACCGTCCTCCACCCTGCTGCCGATGGTTAGATCTTGTTGCCATACTTCCCTCCTTAAAACCCTTCGGTTTCCCTTCACCTAGAGCAGTTGTCTCCAAATGTCATTCAACTCATACCCTGAAACAGAAAAGCAATTTTGAGCATCATTCCCAATACAGCAGATTTTATATTTTATAATTTATGGTTTGCATTATTGTTCTAATATTAGGTCTAATATAAATTACATCATAAGAAAAATTAAAAAATAAACTGAACATAAAAATTACAATTTTTCTTGCACTCTAGAGTACCGTATTGAGCACACTCACTTTGTAGACTTCTATAACTTCTCATGTTCTCCCCTCCAAATCCCATACACATATGCCCCTACTTTCTTGCTGAAATATATCACTTAGAATTTTCTCAACATACCAAATTCATTCTTGACTCTGTATCTTTGCACAGGTTGTTGCTTCTGCCTGGAAATCTTCTTACACTCCCATTCCCCTGAGTCCTCCTTTTGAGTAACTCTTTCACCCTTCAGGGCTCACTTTAATTACTATCCTCAAGGATACCTTCCTGGCTCCTCCCAGATAGGGTCAGATAGTGGGCGCCATTTATGTTGCCTAGGGCCTTTACTAGTCTTTTAGCTCCTTGAGGATAAAGATCAGGTATTTCATTTTTCTGTCAATCATTGCCTAGCATACATAGTACTCAGCACATAGTGTAACATTACTTTCAGCTGAAAATAACTTGACCAAAGGTAGTTTGGTGGGCAGCAAGCCAGACAACATGTCATTTTGGTTATGTGGGTGGGTTTGTAATGTTTTATGCATCTTTAAAAATTGTTGTCCATCCCAGCACTGCCCCCCGCCCAACCCCCAGAACAGGATTGCACTTGTTTTATACTAATTTATT